CTGAATCAGTCTTTTCAAATAATTCAATTTGATGTGGGGGTGGAAGTTGTCCAGTTCCCCCGTAGTTTTGCCACTGAGTAAAGAACAGAAATTACATTTCTTAGAAATTTAACAATATATTGCGCGCAGATGAGTAAACGTTACACCCTCTCTCACCAACAATGGCACAACAAAGACATTAAGAAGTAGGATTTCATTTATGCATCCTCTGTAACTTTTTTAATCAGCTGATCGTGTATGTGTCTATATGCAGTGGCATACTGAGGGGGGGGGGGGGGGGGGGGGGGGGGGGGGGGGGGGGGCTGGCAGACAAAAGAATCCGCATCACCTCAATCTAACATGCAGGCCCAGAGTAAATTTGCGTGTGGTCAAGGGGCAGAGTCCCCGGAAACTCAGGGGGTATGGGCATTTAACTACGGTCAGATGAGCATATTTTGATACATTATTCATGACACTGGCAGGTCACTAATTGGCGTAGGGTCCAGGGGACGGAGCCCCAAAAAAACGTTTAGGTAATAAATGATTGTCAGATGAGTATCCAGGGGCCTGTCTTAGGGCCATTGGTTGGGTCCAGGGGACAGAGGAAATCTTCTGTGTGCCCATGCCTTGAGCCATAATGCATGGCCGTCCAGAGGATTGTTTTATGTTGGGGACCGGGGTAAAATGCAATAAATTATTGAAAAATTATTACATTTTCTGTTTTTTTTTAAATTTATGGAAACTGCCCCTATCCTAGCCCCCGCTCGGTACAGTCATGGTTCAGTGACAAAGCAAAGGCCTCGTAACTGTGAGGCCCCAGGATCAAAACCGTGTTGACGTGCTATATTAGTGCCCTTTTGTGGGGCATTAATCCTCATTACTGTCATTTATGACTTGAGGGCGTAGGTCCCCTAGTTAATAAGCATAGTAACATACACATGCTTTAGCAGTCCCGCAAAACACACATTGGCAAATTATTATTCAATAAAATCTGAGATTGTATACTATTATCTAGATCTATTATTTTTAAATTATTTTTAGAATAATGCCATAAATTGGGGTAAAACTAAAATATTCCAACTTAATTTGAGCGACAGTGTATATCTTCTGATGTTTTTTTTTTTAAAGAGATGCGAAATAAAATTGAATTGAATTGAATTGAATGTCAAGAACATTTATAAATCACTTGTATGGAATTGTAAATAAGTCATGGTTTAATTTTATTGGGGGGCTAGCGCCCCCAAGGCCCCGTCCCCCGGCCCCCACCACCAGAACGCCAGTGTCTCTATGTATAATGGGCTCTCATCCATGATCCAAAATTAAGGTTTTCTTCACGTTATCTATATAATTATATTGTCATGCTGTATAATATGTTTTCTTGTACGGTAAATTATTTTGAAATAGAAATTGCCTTCAAGTCATATGTACGATGTCAAAAGAAAATAAATATCCGGTCTTTGGGGATTCATCTCATATGATTTTGTAACTCCAGAGCAGCGTTTCCATCGGGGTGCCGCAAGCGAATGTTAGTTACCTTTGGAAAACGTTGATTTTGTGAAAAACAAAGATCAGAAACGGCTAGAGTATATTATTACAAGAGAAAACAAATTTTTTTAAATAATGAAGTGTCTTTCTTCCTCGCTCGCGGACAATATTTTGACAGCAAGGCGCCCGAATGAATATTAAATATTTTATTTCGAGATTACATTGTTACCACACTCATTGCCTTTAAAATCATGATAAATAAGGGCAGGCGCGCCGGAAGCAGTTTGGGATGGGGGGGGGGGGGGGGGGGGGGGGGGGGGCAAAAGTTCGAGGGGGCTCACCTTCCAAGGGCAGTGGCGTAATGAGTAAAACAGTTTTTGTTGGGGGGGGGGGAAGAATCTGCATCACCACTACCACCAGAAGCTCAGGGTTTTTAGGCATTAAATTACGGTCAGGTAAGCATATTTAGATACCTTATTTGTGACACTGCATGGTAGGTCACTTTTATTGGCGGGGGGTCCAGGGGGCAGAGCCCCCGGAAACTCATGGGTTTTAGGTGTGTAATTACGGTCAGATGAGCATCCAGGAACCATCTTTAGGGCCCTTGGTGGGGTCCAGGGGGCAGAGCCCTCGGAAGCTAATAGGTTTTAGGTATTTAATTACGGTTAGATGAGCATGCGACATTGGCAGTCACTTTTTTTGCTCGCCCTCTCTCTCTCTCTCTTCTTTTTTTTTTTTACTCTTTAACATAATTTTTTTTAAGTGAGAGGGCTCCAGCCCCCTAGCCCCGCCGTGCAGCAGGCCCTGAAATGAAGGCTTTTAAATAAGCATATTTTTCGCCCGACTGTAAATTTGGGAATTTCTAATTTTCCATCAAACCATAAAAAGGTATATGATACACACACGCTTTCGCGTCTTCTCACAATGTTTCCACGACATGCGCGTATCGCATTGATAAATATAGGTGGCACGCAGAATGTTTAGGACATTTAATTTCTTTTAACTTTCCTTTTCTTTGGATGGAATACAATTTATATGTGATTCAATTCAGGTTTTATTATTTTTATGTTCTTTTTTGGTGAAAAAATAAAAAACATCTTTACTCATTTACTGTTATTGTTTTTTGAGAGGTTGGGGGGGGGGGGGGGGGCAAAAATGCGTTTCGCACCCCCCCCCCCCACTTTTTTGGTTGGGGGTGGGGACAAGTGCCCCCCTGCCCCCCACTTTCCGTGCCTATCAAGGGCAACGAGAGGCCCGAATATCCTCATATTCGTGTATCAAGGTCATGACCGAATATATCAGATTTTATTCATGTACATTCGGCGGCAAGGTGCCCGCATATGGTACTTTAAATCGTTTCCAGTGTGTGATTATTTTTCTTTTCATTTTTGCTCCTGGGAATTCGAAAATTGCGCAGACTGTTTTTCGCTCAGTGGGGAGGGGGGGGGGGGTAGGTTGAGCACTTACTTTTTACTTTAAAAAAAAGAGAGAAAAAAGGTCGGGCCCGGCCCCCCCCCCCCCCCCGTGAATCCGCGCCTGCTTTTCCTCGCAGTTATTTAGATTCAATTCATTTCCTCGTATCCTATATTAGACTTACACAAATGTAAATATAATATATTGAAACATTCAAAAATTGTATAGATTCTATTTAGGGACAAATCTAATTGAATTTGAATTCATGTTTACAAGTAGGCCTACGGTAGGCGTACGGGGGTGGGGAAAAGAGGGGCTCTATCCCCCTATGGGAATTATTACAAAAAGAAAAATATCATAGAGAAAGAGACAGACAGAGGTTGGAAGAAAGGTTTGAAATAGAAGGGGGAGAGATAGGCACTAAAGATGAAGAATATCAGGGGAAGATCCCAAAAGGATTGCCATGGGTGTTAATATAACTAGATGGAACTTCAACTGCGCGCAGTCGAAAATGATGCCTCCGTCATAGAGCAATTTTACAAACCAAAACAGAAATTTTTCAAATTCAAGTTCAATTGTAATCCATTAACAGGTTCTCAGAATATCGTGATTACAAGCAATTTCTCATATACATATGACCCTTTGATCTTTGACCTCATGACCCTAAAGTCTACTCAGTTCATTGGCTCTGCAAGATGTCCTGAGTTAAATAGTAATCCATCTGTCAGTTCTAATGAGAATGCGTTCACAAGCTATTTTTGCATACATAATGAGCCGCATGACCTTTGACCTCGTGACCCCAAAATCTAATCAGTTCATCGGCTCTGCAAGTAACATACATGACCTATTAAGTTTGGCAGGAATCCATCAATCGGTTCTTGAGATGACGCGATCACGAGCTGTTTTTGCATACAAAATGAGCCCTGTGACCTTTGACCTCGTGACCCCAAAATTTAATAAGTTCATTGGCTCTGCAAGATACATACATGACCAAAGTTTGGCAGGAATCCATCAATCGGTTCTTCAGATAACGCGATCACGAGCTGTTTTTGCATACATAATGAGCCCTGTGACCTTAGACCTCGTGACCCCAAAATCGAATAAGTTCATCGGCTCTGCAAGACACATACATGACCAAAGTTTGGCAGGAATCCATCAATCGGTTCTTCAGATAACGCGATCACGAGAACGGGACGTACGTACAGACGTACGGACGGACGGACAACCCGAAAACATAATGCCTCTGGCTACTTCGTAACGGAGTCATAAAAATGGTGAACTAGGGGGAAGGGAAACCAAAATGGATGAAGACATAAAGGAGGTAGATAAAATGAAAAAGGAGGAATAGCCCCTAGAATACAGGACAAACAAAAAATGACGTACAGAAGGGACAAGGACAAGACGGAAGGGGGCAGCCACTTAACCCCGTCACCGTGGCCGCACCGACGGCTTTCAAAGTCGATTAAAAAACGAAAATATTTTCCATTTAGATATTGTTTTATTCATTTAATGTCAATTTCAACGATTCTTTCACATGTCCCCCCCCCCCCCTCCCCCTCGATAGAAACATACACACACATCACAACACACATACCAATGTCCACACATGTACGCAAACACAAACACCAAAGTGAAAATACATTCACATGTAATAATTATGAGAATGAGATGGGAACAGGGAATGGGTGGAAGGGACGGAGAGAGAGAGAGAGAGAGGGACAGACGGCGAGCGACAGGGGGGAAGAGAATTGAGGGAAGGATGGAGTGATGTCCTGAGAGTGTGGATGAAGATAAGAGAAGGTAGTATAAACAGACCGACAATAAGAGATGAGCAGAGATAATGGGAGAGGAAGGGAGATGGGGGAGATGAAGGAAATGGGGAAGGGCGAGCTTGCATACAGACCATCTCCATTTATTACACATATTTCACAGGGTGGGCGGACTCACTTGTGAAGAAGGCCGGAGACTATTATTAAAATGAATTAAAGCTATCTCCAAACTCGTCAATTTCGCATCTAAAATTGTGAACCGCTTCTGCAGTTTTAATTAAAGATTGATCCGTAATACCCTTGGTCACGTGATACCCAAAGAAATCACACATGAATGAATACAAAAAGAAGACATTTTGTATAAAATCAATATTATATATTTGTTCAGAAATCTGTGCAAGACCTTATAGAAAGCAGATGTTGTTGAATTTAACACTTACAAATATCAGCTGATCGTAAACCTTGAGTCAAAATTGAGAGTCTCACTTCAATTCCTGACAAGAGGCATATATTATGCAGTAATAAGTGAAAACTATATATTATGATAAGTTTGTATCAATGAAAGCCTCTTAATGCATTTAATTAAACCATCAAAATTACCTTGCAAATAAATGATATACGGAGACATGAGATATAAAAAATACAAAGTGTAAAAAGAGTTTTTTTTTTTTTAAAGAATCCTCACCATGGCATGGCAGACATAATACACCTCAACTTTTAGTAATTATAATATTTTGCATATTATCTAAATCGGCAGCTTGTCGTATTTAGCTGTGAATGGAATATCAGATTAAATATTGTCATTAATGCCCTCTTCCACCTTTCAGTGATGTGCTTGAAGAAGCTTTGAAGCATGCAGGAGTGTTGTGAGTTCATAACTGATCATCATTTCGTTTGGACCCTTCAGCCTCTCAAGGGCGTCACTGATCCTGTGGGTCCACAATCACATACAAGTCATGAATTGCTTCTCTGATCAAGTTTACTATCTCTTGGATATCATAGTACTCACACAGAATTGTCAAATCTCCAGCTGCATGATTAAAGGTGATACGCTATGTATACATATATATATATATATAGTGCCCTTTTCACTATGACATTTTCCATGTCATATTTGCCCTTTACAATTCAAATATGTTACAGAATGATTCATATGATGAAAGTAATCTTTACAATGGCATCCACTATTCATCTAAGAGGCAAACTTTTACCAATTCTGCATGAAAATTTCAATTATGCCTTTACCTAACAATTTATTTCTTACAATTTATAATCTTACATAATAAAGGAATCAATTCATGTGAAGGAGAGTATTGTACAATTAAACCTCATTCAAGGTTATATGCAATATAGCTAACAAGAGAGTAAATGAACACTAGCAAAGGTCAATTCCAAGCAATACAGAATGATATTTCAAGATAAACTTTATTTAGATATTATAGACATTGTAATAAATAAAACCCACAAATTAACAATATGATATGAGATACTTTAACAGCATTTGGGTTTCCTTTCAATAATTCATCAAATTTATGGAATATTGAATTGTATAAAAGTTTGGTAGGGAATGATTTACACTAGGTTTTGTTTTTATTCATTTTGTAACAAAGCTGTATAAATGTGAATGTTTTACAAATTCAATCAATGATTGGCAGAGAGCTCCATAAGGCATTACAAAAAAAAAAATGTTGTCTTGCCATTTGCGAAAGACCCCAAAATCACGAAATCTATGGGCGGTTTTTTAAAGGGATTACTGTTTTTTAGAGAAAAAAATGTTAAATGAATATAAAAATAAGTATTGAAGCATTCAAAACTGAGAAATATCAGCCCAAAGTGGAAGAAAAAAAATTAAAAAGATTTCCGACTGACTGAGCCATATTTTGGCACCTAAAGAGCAATAAAACATCTTTTTTTAGGCCTGATTGTGAAAGTACCTCAAATTAGTTTGTTATAACATAAGTTTGTAGATTTTCATGAAACTATCTATAGTACGTGTTTTTGAAAATATATATATCTGGAAATGATATTCAGTAAAGCTTGGAACTGACTGAAAACAAACACTTGAAAAAAAGAGTTCTTCATTCCACTAAAGGCAACTCATCATGAACCAACCTTTGGAAGACCTCACATGATATACTAAATTAAATTAAGAGATGGTCTATTACCTATATAGTCACAAGTATAAGCTAACGTCTTCATTGGGTGTGTGCACTGAAAGCTGACTTAACTTTACTCTGAACTTTCGTCTTAAGCCCCTCAGTTAATTGAGCAATAACCTCTATATCAGTATTTATGAAAGTTTAATTGGCATTTCGAACTCCTGCATCATCAAAATATTCCCCTCCTATTTTTAATCTGTTTCCACCAATCAGATTCACTGAAAGAAAAATGAATATGCATTTCAACTTGAAAGTAGCAAATTGTGTAAGGCACAGTCCATGCAAGCTGCTGTAAAGTGAATTCAGAAGGCTTTGAAAGAATTTGCCTTTCTAGATCTATGTACAACATCTATCAAATGTTTAAAACTTACATTTAGACTGCTACAATGTGTTGAAATTGATAAGTTAATCCTCATTTAATCAAGTATCCCATCCTTGCAATTGAATGTTCTTTATACAAAATGAAAATACAATAAAATAGTGCTGTGTCCTCAGAGGAGTTACAAGACCTACTCTGTACAAAACAACCACAAACAGGGTGTAATTAGTCTAAACGGTTGATTATGAGAGTCCGATTATTGATTTTGTATAACAGTAAGGATTTGTTCACATAAGTCAGTAAAAACTGTATAGGCCAGTATTCTGAAGTCCTGACTAAGTTGTTGTTTAAAGTCATGTCTAAGACTGGTCTTAATTTAGTCATGACTGCGACCTTGTGTTTAACTCCTGTCTAACTCAACAGTTGTTTAACTTTAGTCATGACTAAGTTAGAAACGACTTAAGAATACCGGCCTATGGGTTTTTGAAGCATTTTAAATCTTACAATGAACATGTGGACAGGTAGGACCAGTGCGCGAAGGAGCCTGGTGGTCGACTCACTTCATGGAGAAGACAAGATCAGGACGTTTATACATCATTAGGTCATCTTTTACAATGTAACCAATTGTCTTGAAGAGAAACTCCATACTGCTGTACCATTGATATTCTGGGCTCAGTGGGAAGTCCGTCTGTGACCTAGATCTGTCACTTTTCTTTTAAAGACTGGTTTGAGGTCAGGCTGTGCAAACAAAGAAGTGGTCTTGCTATCATCATAGGATAGTTAAAATTCATGTGAAGTTTGAAGTGCAAGTCCAAGTCACTCCCTTTAACTTTTTATTTGGATACCCAGACAATTTGTGCTTAGTTGCTACAGTAGCTTTATTACATTGTGATGGTAAATTACAGTGACAATGACATACATGTACATAGAGTTTACATGCCTCCAAGGAATGCAAGGAAGATACCTTTAGGTTGCTTGAAAATAATGTAATGCAGGATTTACTCATGGTCACATATGGTCAACCAGTCATTTTGAGCACTAAATCCCATAGTATACTATTTAAGTATGACAAATAAATTCTTGTGTGTCTGGTCGAGTGACAAATCTCATCATACCGTTACCTATAAATATGTTAAAGTCTCTCCTATACCTGGGTTCCACAATAAATAGTATCACAAGGAAGGGGAGGGGGTCCACATTGAATCCTATATAGTCTCAAGAGATGGAATGTGGGGGGGGGGGGGGGGAGCAGGCAATGTGTACAGGGTGCATGAGACATGGCTGTACTGTACATACAAATTTTACACCAAACAATCTACACATATTAAAGGAAAGTTCACACTGATATTAAATTAGTTTCAATATCAACAGAAGAATGAAGGAACAGATCAGTGTGATCAATCAAAACGTAAAATGGCAACTCTATGAAATATATTGTGAGGTCCCTCCCTTTGCTCTGTAATTGTTTTTAAATCAGAATTACAATCTTCCCTAAACAAAATTTTCTATTATACATGTACCTGCACCATAAATCATAATACTGCAAACATGTTATTATACAACCTTGCATGAAACTAATCTATTCTGCCCTCAATAACTAAGAAAATAAAAGTTTACACAAATGTATAATGTGACAAACATTTTTAATAATGACTATCATAAAAGCGAGATTTCTGACAGTGATTTTGACATAATAATGGTATTGATTCTTTATTCATGCATTTGTTCAAACCAGAGCTCTTATTGGTTTTTGAAGAGCTCTGGTAGAAAAAGATAATATATGACAACTTACTGTCAGAAATCTTGCTTTCATGAAAGTAAATGAAAATAAAACTCATGGGTTTGAAACAAACAAACAAGCATTTTAAAAAGAAATTACTGTTACTTGTATTTACTATCCCCATGTTTTCCTTTCATGTTTGTACTGAATAGCTTCCTTTTAAAATCTTGACTGAAAATATATATTCATAAACTTCACACAAACTTAGCACTCTCCAGTGTGAGTTGCATGCATACCACAGAATACTACATTTGTACCTTACCATGAATACCGAGTGCACTCATAAGCTTCATGATGTATCGTGACATAATTGATCGATCAATTCCTCTCTTTGTAGAAATAATAGTCCAATGTCCATGTACATTTAGGTATCTTGAGGCTCACTTGTTCTTTTGTCTTTGTTGGGACGAGCTTTCTTGACATGTTTATCATAATAGCGATATAAAGCTCTGAAATGTCTGTCTTTGAGCAGGATATGAGGGCGCTTTGCTTCCATGAAGGTCTGTGCTTCCTGAGGAGTACAATGGTTCATCTAAACAAAACAAAACAAAAGACAAGAGACCAGATGAATGCGACTGGTTCTATAAATGGCTTTGCCTACCGGTAAATGAACATTCATTGATCACTGACCTTTACCATTTGACCTAGCAAACACATACTCAAATCATCTTTTCATGCCACAGCACTAATGTCCTTTGGCAAGACATCAATCTACATTTGCCAGACTCCCCCCAGGTGAGGTAAATGGGTACCTGGCAGAATTAGTCCTTGAAATTCATTGTGCGCCGATTATAACGGATGCCGGAGCTAATGCTAAGGGTAATAATTTCCAAAGCTCTTTTGAAGCACTCATAGAGGTTAAATACAGTGCGTCCCAGAAAAAACAAAACCAAGATTTATCAATGTTTTATCATAACTTAATCACAACTATAATTAATAAATGACACATATTTTTAAAGCTTAGATCCTTCTCTTTCATTTGATGCAACTCATATGATGCATATTTCATGCATGAGTGATTAAAAATGATTTGAAGAGAGGGAACCAAAAAAGTCATTTGGCGGGCGGTATCTGAATTTCAAAGAGAAAATCACATTTCTAGAAAGTTTGTGTTCTGCCCTTTCATATGACACCTCAATCAGGAAAAATGAGCCAGGAATAAAACAGTTCTGTTAGTTTAAAGTAATGCTTGCATTTCCATGATTAGATTTAACAAAATCGTTTTCATTGGCTGCCTGTCGTAGCAACAGAGTTGACAAATGATTTAACTCTGTTTTGTTGACGATCAGCCATGCACAAAGAAGACGAAATACTTGAAGCATGGCTGATCGTCAACAAAACAGAGTTAAATCATTTGTCAACTCTGTTCATTGCTACGGCAGGCAGCCAGTGAATGGTGCAACATACAAAATGTGGCCTCTTACCATCATAAGATAACAGCCCACTAGTGTAGCACTCCTAGTTCTCCCTGCTTTACAATGTACGTACACACTGCTACCATCATTAGCATGCTGTTGAATGAACTCTACACCTCTTTCTAAGTACTCCAGGCTAGGGGCCTCGGTGAAGTCTACTGTAGGGAGCTGAAGATGCTCTATTCCATGATTTTTCCATTCCTATAGATCAAACGAAGAAACAAAAAGATAAATAGGTACATAAAGCACACATTATAGAGGGGTTCTACATAATTCATAGAAGGATAATAGATGGACACATCAAGCGCATTTTTCTTAAGGATACAAAGCGCTATATTCAACATTTGTTATTTTCCGCAGCTTTAGTCTAGCTACATGTAAAAGGACCATGATATTAAATCACCAATTTGAAAGCATTCCTAACATTTCTGCAATCTGTTCTCACTTGGATTGACAGGAATTTGAATACCCGTACCACAAGAAAGAGAAATGGATCAGTAAACATTTGAGAAAAATCAATAAAAATAAGAAAGTTTTGTAGCTTGAATCAATCAAACACAAATTGGCAAGTCTGTGATTGTGAGGTTCTCTCCCATTTGGTTTGTACACCGTACTAAACATTTACAAATTTTTTTTTCTTCATCAAATATGCATCCTAAATAAAATCAGAGCAAATATGTTTGAATATAACCATGTAGGAAACATAGCTATTCTTTCTTCAGCAACTAAGAAATAAAATTGATTAGATATTGTGATAACAAGAAAGCGGGACGGACAACCCAAAAGCATTATGACTCTGGCACCACCTTTGGTGGGCAGAGGCATACAAATAAAGAATACCTTCCTACCTCTACAGTAGGAGCATGTCTTCTCAGCTCATGATCTTCATTCAGAGATATAACGCCTTTTACATTCTCTTCTTTTAGCTGGAAGATACAAAGGATGCATAGAATGGAAATAGATTAGCAAAGGATTAAATCAATCAAAGAGTCTTTATTTCATATGTTCCTATGTTCATTAACCAAATGATTTCAACCCATAATCAGTTTGTGTTAGCTGTTAACTTTTAAAAAGAAGATTGCATTCATGAGCTTTCTCAGCAGTCATGAGACCATCCCCCTTTCGTTAGGAAGTTTAAAGGGCCAACATTGAAATATTGTACCTATTTGCATTTTGACAGAAATAAGGTAGTTTTAACTGAAATTTAAAATACATGTATGGCTTTGTAATTTTTTAGTTTTATGCCATGAAGTCCTTTAACAAAGCCTTACCATAAAATGGTCAATACATGTATGTTGATTGTGTACAATTTTTTTGTTTAAATAAGTGTATTTTCTTATTTCATGCCACCTTCCCTCCCAAAATGCCCAGTGTTATTTTGCTTTCACTATCTTGTTTGGTCTTGTATGTTTATCTCACCAAGGATACACACAACCAGTCAGAGAGTCTTGACAATGCTTCATTATGATCATCCTCTTATACTCAGTAATACTCACAAACAGTACTCCACATTTGAATTGCACTTTTAAATGCTCCATACACTTCTCATGCCTTTGATAAATTGAAAAAGTAATGGAAATGATTTCATTCCTTTAAAGCCCGTCTGCACTAGTTTGGCCAGGAGGGATAAGACCACCCAGAATGGTCACGGACAGGTTGTTATCTCATCAACTCAGCTCTCAAATAACATAAGAAAAGAGGATCATGGGGGACCAACGAGCACCACTTAGGCATTGCTTTCTATTTAGAGGGGAAAAGTGTATGTATAGCTACAAGTAGTGCAGTAGGGCTTTAATAAGGATCTAAAGGCATGTACATCTAAGACGTGGGAGGGTTCAGGTCACACTGTGTACTAATGAGATTATGGTGTATCTCATGAGAAAAGTACATTGTCATGAAATTCAACAAAATCTTTGCTTAATAACAAAAGACGCCATCACCCCTGGGGAAATCATCCACATAATAGATTGTACAGGTACATGTAATTCACTCAATAGTGCAGAACATTTGAAAATAACTTTAAATGTGACCTTGTTAAGTACAGCAGACTGATATGGAGCAAGCAGGAGATGTGCATGTAGCCTGCATTGAGGTAAAAGCCAAGCACTTCATCCATTGTTAACAGTGCCCTCAATGGTTATGGTTCATTGGCTACATAATAAAGAATGACCTCATCAGAAGGGAATTTCTTTTATCCAGTCTTTGTCCTCAAAAGTATGCGTTCAAATGGTACACTTAAAACTGGTAATCAAAATTATCAAATACATATATTATCAAAATACAGAGTGTACAGTGTAGATGTAGATGCATGTACTTTGATTATCTTGAATATATACATACAGTAACTGTATGATGACTCTGGTTCAATTTTTTAAAAGCACCGTAATTCTGTCTTTAAACAAAATGAAAATGAAAACAAATTTCAAGCAGAAAACAACTACTGTGAGCCTGATTGAATTTGATACAACTGTATGATTCATATTTTTATATGTGATTTCAAAATACACCATGACATGGTATTGTTTGAATTGAAGTGTAGGCCTACTAACCTGGTCGATATAACTCCTGAAAGGTAAAGCACCCAATATGACGGTTGAATCTATTCTGTCATATCAGTTTCTTGTTTTACTGTACTAGTCTACATACTAACCTGGTCGATATAACTCCTGAAAGGTAAAGCACCCAATATGACGGTTGAATCTATTCTGTCATATCAGTTTCTTGTTTTACTGTACTAGTCTACATACAACCTGGTCGATATAACTCCTGAAAGGTAAAGCACCCAATATGACGGTTGAATCTATTCTGTCATATCAGTTTCTTGTTTTACTGTACTAGTCTACATACTAACCTGGTCGATATAACTCCTGAAAGGTAAAGCACCCAATATGACGGTTGAATCTATTCTGTCATATCAGTTTCTTGTTTTACTGTACTAGTCTACATACTAACCTGGTCGATATAACTCCTGAAAGGTAAAGCACCCAATATGACGGTTGAATCTATTCTGTCATATCAGTTTCTTGTTTTACTGTACTAGTCTACATACTAACCTGGTCGATATAACTCCTGAAAGGTAAAGCACCCAATATGACGGTTGAATCTATTCTGTCATATCAGTTTCTTGTTTTACTGTACTAGTCTACATACTAACCTGGTCGATATAACTCCTGAAAGGTAAAGCACCCAATATGACGGTTGAATCTATTCTGTCATATCAGTTTCTTGTTTTACTGTACTAGTCTACATACTAACCTGGTCGATATAACTCCTGAAAGGTAAAGCACCCAATATGACGGTTGAATCTATTCTGTCATATCAGTTTCTTGTTTTACTGTACTAGTCTACATACTAACCTGGTCGATATAACTCCTGAAAGGTAAAGCACCCAATATGACGGTTGAATCTATTCTGTCATATCAGTTTCTTGTTTTACTGTACTAGTCTACATACTAACCTGGTCGATATAACTCCTGAAAGGTAAAGCACCCAATATGACGGTTTAATCTATTCTGTCATATCAGTTTCTTGTTTTACTGTACTAGTCTACATACTAACCTGGTCGATATAACTCCTGAAAGGTAAAGCACCCAATATGACGGTTGAATCTATTCTGTCATATCAGTTTCTTGTTTTACTGTACTATTCTACATACTAACCTGGTCGATATAACTCCTGAAAGGTAAAGCACCCAATATGACGGTTGAATCTATTCTGTCATATCAGTTTCTTGTTTTACTGTACTAGTCTACATACTAACCTGGTCGATATAACTCCTGAAAGGTAAAGCACCCAATATGACGGTTGAATCTATTCTGTCATATCAGTTTCTTGTTTTACTGTACTAGTCTACATACTAACCTGGTCGATATAACTCCTGAAAGGTAAAGCACCCAATATGACGGTTGAATCTATTCTGTCATACCAGTTTCTTGTCTTAACTAGTCTAAGTGTACTAACCTGGTCGATATAACTCCTGAATGGTAAAGCACCCAATATGACGGTTGAATCTATTCTGTCATACCAGTTTCTTGATGTCACATTCTTCATGAATACATTCCAGTACAGAGTAGGATAGAATAGTGCTCTTGATCCACCCATCTTTCTTCGATCCTAAATGAATTACAATAGAAAAGTGGCTCTACCATTACTCAAAGATGATGGAACTTATTGAACTAGTTCACCCAGATTAGCAAGCATAGATTACGGGTGACTTCCTAGAAACTCCAATTTACTATTAAAATACCGTTAGCTGTTTGAAATGTTGTACAAGATGTACACTGTAGTTCTGTCAGGAGTATGTTCAGATATAGTCACTCCATTCTATCCATAAGATTTGATTCCTCAAAGTACAATTTCCATGTAATGTAATTCATGACAAAAAAAGTTGTCAGTCTGACTGTGGCTGTCAGTCACTCATGTTTGGCCCTCTCACCCCCCCCCCCCCAAAAAAAAAAAAAACTAGATGGAACTTCGACTGCACGCAGTCGAAAATGATGCCTCCGTCATAGAGCAATTTTACAAACCAAAACAGAAGAAATTTTTCAAATTCAAGTTCAATTGTAATCCATTAAGAGGTTCTCAGAATATCGTGATTACAAGCAATTTCTCATATACATATATGACCCTTTGATCTTTGACCTGATGACCCTAAAATCTACTCAGTTCATTGGCTCTGCAAGATGTCCTGAGTTAAATAGTAATCCATCTGTCAGTTCTAATGAGAATGCGTTCACAAGTTATTTTTGGATACATAATGAGCCCATGACCTTTGACCTCATGCCCCATGAATCTACTCAGTTCATTGGCTCTGCAAGATACATACATGATCGAAATTTGGCAGGAATCCATCAATCTGTTCTAATGAGAATGCGATCACAAGCTATTTTTGCATACATAATGAGCCCTGTGACCTTTGACCTTTGACCTCGTGACCCCAAAATCTATTCAGTTCATCGGCTCTGCAAGATACATACATGACCAAAGTTTGGCAGGAATCCATCAATCGGTTCTTGAGATAATGCGATCACGAGCTCTTTTTGCATACCTAATGAGCCCTGTGACCTGTGACCTTTGACCTTGTGACCCCAAAATCTAATCAGTTCATCGGCTCTGCAAGATACATACAAGACCAAAGTTTGGCAGGAATCCATCAATCGGTTCTTCAGATAACGCGATCACGAGCTGTTTTTGCATACATAATGAGCCCTGTGACCTTTGACCTTTGACCTCGTGACCCCAAAATCTAATCAGTTCATCGGCTCTGCAAGTAACATACATGACCAAAGTTTGGCAGGAATCCATCAATCGGTTCTTCAGATAACGCGATCACGAGAACGGGACGTACGGACGGACGGACGGACAACCCGAAAACATAAAGACTCCGGCTACTTCGTAACGGAGGCATAAAACAGACCCCAATGTTGGGGCGATTTTATCCTCTACATCTAGCCCATGAACCAAACTTTTTCAGTAGGTAACATGTAGTTTTGTCAAACTGGCTTTAGTGACCAACTGACTACAAGTCCAAAGACCACATTTTTGGGTTCCTTTGAAAATGTTTTTTCATGGAAACATGTCGTAAAGAAACCTGTCTACAAAGACCACTTAGATGGGTTTTACTGTAGTATGACTCAACTATTACAAAACACACAAAAAGTTACAAAAGTTTTAACGCTGGGATTAAATGTCAGAAGGAAGAGCTATGGCTGTACATTACATTCTAACCTTTATAATAAAAAAGAATTTAGTTCAATTCAGTTCAAATTTACATTGTGTGATCAAAGCATTATAAAGTGGGGGTAATGTGCAATTTCAATTGAAATAATCATTTCATTAATAATTTATTACATTGTAAACATAATGTATCGCCTTATCAAAATGTATACAGGATAATGTACATGGAAACACAGTCATTAAACCTCTGCACTTGTATAAATGTATGATAGAGGAACTTGTTAGGTACATGTATCTCAGCTAGTGCTAATCTGGGCTATGTGACTGCCATGCTGAAATTTACCATTCATGTGTTGATTACACAAATAATTTGAATATTCCTCTATTGTTACTTGTTCAAGTGAAGATGGCTAATACCTTTAGTATTTTGGGCTACTTTTAAGAAAGATAATATCTAATGAGAAATTTAACCTTAAAGGGATCAGGTAACTTTGTCTCAGATCCTTAAACAAAAACTTGATTTACATGTAGCTCATGCTGCAATCATAATTATAAACCTTTAGGTCAGTCAGGAATCCCATGACTTTTACAAGCTGATCGCCTGTCTGATTATCAAGATATTTATGATTGAAAATCGAAATTTAATTTTTGCATTTTCATAACACTACAGTCTATTGGGGAAAATGAGTACCGGTATGGTAAAAGCAGTCATTCAAAGATTTTTTCTTTTTTGAGGCACTTCATGATCATTTTGAAGCGCAATTTTTTTTTTTTAATTCAAAATTACACCATATCACAGATACTGATAACACGTAGGGCCACGCATCTCAGATTTAACAATTGTTAAGTGATGTCTTCAAGGTTCAAAATTTTCACGGGCCCTTAAGCGGACCTCTGACCCCAAGCAATAAAGGCGTTGCGCTTCCATTTTCGTACATTTCACGCCCCCCCCCCCCCCTTTGGAAAATCCTGAATACGCGCCCCTGCTCAATAGCAACATTTAGAAGACCTGCACTACTGTTACATGTATGACAAGTTCGTATACAGCACAAGACTTGTATACTGCGCACATCACATCTTTATTTTGAGTTAGAGTTAGAAAAGGGAAAGAAGATAGCTTACTTAGCAGTGTTAGCACTATCCACTGCACTATGTATGATCTCTTAAGTTCCCATAACTTTGGTAGAATGGGGAGTGTTCAGGGGCATGACATCGCACACAATAAAGAATCATTGAGCCTCCACCCTCATATTATTCAATAAAATCAATGAATAGAAATCAACTACAATGCCCGCACCCTCAGATCATTCAATACAAACCAAATCTTTGCATTTTGGAAGTTGAATGAGTCAACATGTAATTCACAAATACAAGTGTGCAGAGTCCATGACTACATGTATCTACACTGTATCTCAGTAAAGTGCTTGATTAATTTGAATGACAATAAAGATTACGGTAAAGTGAATTATTACAATACTGATAAAAAGTAAATTATTCTAAATATGATGAATTAAATTATTACAATCATGATAAAGTAAATTATGATAGTTATGAATTATAACTGTAATCATTCTCAAAGGATACAGGACACCAATAAAACTAGATCAATAATAAATTTATTTTGTACTCACCTACCTTCATGTACAGTACATTTTGCATACTGGTAATATCATTATAAATGAGACCCTTGTTATGTGCCGGATTTGTTGTCAAACCTTGATAATGCTGGGATCATATATGCCAACATTACCTGTTCAGGAAATAGGACAGGTGACTTGCATACCCGTTAATGCCCAATGAACGTATTCTTTTCATTTGATTCTTTTAATAATAATGGCAATGCCCTCATTACAAAATAGATACTGTAGTTGAATTATCGGCAATGGTAAGGGGAAAGGAAATTCTATAAATCATTCAAATCTGATTTAGTGGCCACCTGTAGAAAGACCCCCTGTCTACAAAGACCCCTTTTTTGTCTCTCTTGGGTTTGTACCTGTAGTTATCTATAGAGAGTATTTTATGTTATTTGTTTTCTTCTTCTATTTTTTTTCCTTTTACTGGGGGGGGGGGGAGGGCATTTTACAGAACTGCTTTAAAGGCACACTGTCCTACTTGTAGCTACTTGCTCCCTCTATATAGAAAACTTCCCCAATCAGTGCCTGTTGGTCCCCTGTGATCCTCTTTTTCTTATGTTAAATGAGAGCTGAGTTAATGAGATAGCCACCTGTCACAGTGACCTCGCTGGCTCGCTGGGTGGTCTAATCCCTTCTAGCTGAAATAGTAAAGCCTGCCTTTAAAGAACATACCTGACAGTAAAGTCAGATTAAAGTAGAGCGTGTGGCTTTCTTTTAATGCAAAGATTGTAAGATATAGAAGACAATGTTTATGTCAATCTTGAGTTGCTTTGAGCCCCATGGCTACAGCCATCTCAAAATGAGAGGGAAAACTGTGAAAGGTGAGCTCATTTTTCATGCCTAGAATAGAATAGATGAAAAATGGGTATTGCGATGTTGAATGTGAATGAGCTGCTAAGAGATCACGCGACTGAACATGTGTAGCGTAGTCTCACACCTAGTCTCTTATTCTCACAGCACTAGACACGGTGTCATGTATGGGAATTTTTTAAAAAGATATTTCAGTAAAGATGACTGGATAACAGTCTATACTCCAATTGATAAATTATGAAGATCATGTGTTACGTGTAGAGAGAGAGAGAGAAACATATACTGGTACGTACGTAGATATAGATGGAGTTTCGAGCACTGCAAGAGGAATACAGGAGGTCATTCTTGTTGATTGTAGACTGAAATCATTACTCATTGGGAAATAAAGTTATTGGAATATCGGAATACAACTCTAATCTACGGTTATTCTTAATCAATTAATCTTGATTTTTAATGAATTTTTAAAGACTGCATGTTTTTATTTGAACTACAATCACCGTTGGCTCGTACGCACATTGATGGGTACATTTCAGGATTGCGGCTTGTCTGTGTCAGTGTCTGCGACTGATTCAAGACTAGCGATTGTACTCTCGCACAGAGTTTAATTGTTATTATGGACTTTGTCCCGGCAATGACATGCCCATTCCCTCCGGCCGGTCTATTTCTGAACGTAAATTAGTGACCATGAAATTTAAGTTTAAGCCTCTTACGGACAGATTAGCACACAGAGAACTTTAACAATTAACGCAAGTGCAGATCGTTCATCCGATCTCAGCCTTATTTTTATAAGTTGGCGCCTAGCCTAGCCGACATGGACCCTTCAGATTGGCTATTGCTGTTCTCGATTGACTCAATGCTAGAAGATATTTGTGCGAGGAGCAAGCTTGCGATTTTTCTGTTTTTTTTTCAATACCAAAATTATGATATTTCAGTCAAACCCTCTATTTCACTTAAAGATACTACATGTATGTCCCTTTTGCAGCCAACCTCAAATTCTGTAGAACTTTGCAGGAATTATCAATTTGTCATGTATGTCCTATCTGTCAACTTTAAACGTTAGCAGTGTCCTAGTATTCAAATTATGCAAGGAAACCCGTCTACGTGCTATACTTCACTGTCAGACACTATTGAGTGACTGGCTGGCTTTTCTTCTTCTTCAGTAATAACATACATAAAATGAGCTGTAATTGTAAAGGGTACATGAGCATTTGTCTATATCAATAACCCACTTCTTGTGATGGCCAAAATTAAAACTGATTGAATCTTTGCGCAGCATGAAACGTACGACCATTTGGTACAATGGTCTGAAAATCAAGACTATATTACTTACTGGCTCTACATTATACATTGTACATGTAGCTCCTTGCAGTCGATTTGACAACTTTTTTTGGCCTGCAAATGGGATATAGTACCTTTAAGTTTTACTTAACTATTTATTAAGTTTGAACAATTCTCATTTTCGTCATATTCAAGGTACTACAAACTGGAAATTCATTCTGAGATGTTCGTTGATTTTTCTATTTTATGTGTTAGCAAAGCTGTGTGTGCGTCAGTTATGTTTGAAGTGTGTCACCTGACCTAAATTGCGCTTTAATAACTTAAGTAGGCCCTCTCTCACTTAAATTCGAAGCCACTCGAGCGGATCGGCCAATAAGAGCGCTTATACTAGTGACACTCCTGGCGCTCCCAACAGTGTAGTACACTGTTGGGAGCGCCAGGAGTGTCACGTATGACAGACATGAGTGCTATACAAAAACCCACTAATCATTATTATTTTTATTACAGCGCTATGTAGTATGTGCGCAAAGTCCTCCGTGCCGAGTAGCGTAGAAAGAATCCCCAACTTTGGAGCTATTTTATGACATTACTGGAGTTGGTGGATGGGTGAGTTGTCTTATGCTATGGTCACATTACCCAAAAGTAGCCTGCTGGGCGGCCGAGCGGCGAGTTTTTTAACCAATTCTGCCCGGCGGCCGTCGCCCAGGCACCGCTCGTTTTTAGGGCATCGCTTAGTCGCCGCTGAAGTTTTAGCGCGGAGTTAAAATTTGGGCGGCGCCTGCTCACCTAATCGCTGGGCGATGCCTAATTCCAGCAGGGACCATGCAGGCTACTGATCGGTCGGTCGCTGCTCTTATTTGTGACCATAGCTTTAGATAAGACAGTTGCTTTCTTTTAAAACTAGTTCTATCATTGATAAATGTGAAATTAAGAATTTAGCTTTTGGTATTGGCCTCCCTATTTATTTTCATACAAAAATGACGCTGTTTTTTCATCAACCTTCAACAACAATGTTACAGAGTCACAGTTTAATATAATTGTGACCCCCTGACTGACTAAATCCAAAGAATACTGGCTAATGCTATTTATTTTAAATATATATATATATATAGAAATAAAATTAAAAGTACTTACCGGTTCACACTTAGTTTGAGACTGTCTGTAAAGTCACTGAGTTGAGCGGAGAGTACCTGTGACTGCAGGCTGCTAGCTGCTGAGAGCTGAGCTACGGTTCACTGCCACACTTGTACGCCGAGAGATAGGGCCAGTGAATGACCAATGATGCCGCTCATGCATAAACACAAACGCGAGTGATTTTCATGTTTCCATTCGTAACTATTTCACATTATGTTGATGGACGTGAAGTAGGTTGAATTGGCATAATTCACAGCGGCATTAGCTAAAGAAAGAGATGAATAAGGTTTGCTTTAATAGAGAAGTATTCTGAAGCACTGGCTTTCTATTCTAGTCTCGATCAGGTGCCTGCGATCAATGAGTCGAGTCGAGTCGGAATATGATCTGCACTGAGCGCGTATGAGCTGCTGATGGCGCTATTCAATTTCAGTGCTATTGATTCTTTGAACATTGCGACTGCAAAAGTAGTACATTATTGAGAACGACATTGCTTCACGAAAATAGGACTAGAACGAAAACGCCTCAACCAGAATTGACAATTTGTATGTCATATCATTCGGAAAAAAATATTCTATCCAATAAAACAAAATTTAGTTGCACTTTGTCAATAAAATCGAGAGTAGAAATTGTATGCCATTATACCAACCCAAATTATAAAATGTATAAAATCGTATATAAATTTGCAACAATGCAGAATATTTTGATATCGTATTTTCTGTGGAAAATATGTTTATATAGTTATGATTATTACAAATGAAAACATAAACACAGTATTTTACATGTAAATTCATTGCATAATAACTACATGCATGTATATGCATTTTATGAGTTAAAATTTCCATGACTATCGTAACCACCAAAATGCGATAAATTTGTATGAATTGGCATTTTTCACTAAAGAGCTGCGATCGAACCTTCTAATTAGTGACATATCCCTCCTAAAATGTTTTCTTAATTTGATACACATGACTCAAACGGGTAAAATTGCACTTTTGTTCGCTCTGACTACATTGTATTATTCGCTTTGTTGGCCATGATAATGATAATAGACACACTTTTTTGGCAAATGAAAGCTTAAATCACTTTTCCAAGCAAGATGTGTTTTTGTTGTTTCTGTTTTGTTTTGTTTTTGTTTATGTTTTTGATTTACTTTAAGAATAGGCATTAAACATTTAGCTCCGTTATTATGGTTAAACTTGAAAAAGAAGTGCAGTAATAACAAAAAAAGGAATTAAAAACGAGTCACTGCTTGAGGCCTGTCTAACTATATTTAAAGGAAGGGCATCTATTCTGTTATAAATAGGTAACTAAGGGCATATCAGATGAAAAGAAGGCGATCAAGAGGGGCATATGGTTAATCAAGTGATGGGCGTGTGTTCTGTTCTCTGGGGAAAAAACGTGCGATTTTTCAAATTTTCGAGGGCCAAAAGAAAAATGTGCTCACTAAACTACCCCCCACCCCCCCCCCCCCCACCCCCACTCCCTCCACTTAGCGAATTTTCGGCCGGCGCGATTTTCAAATTTTCGGAGCAAAAAAAAAAAAAAAAAATAGTGCTCACCCCCCCCCCCCCCCCCCCCCCCCCAGAAACCAGAGTGTTATTATAAAAAATACAAATTAAACTAATTATGCCTTGGCTTTCGAGAAATTCATATTATCAAAGCTTTGAGAACAGAAATATATGCTAATACTGAAAACTGTCCCCATAATGATCTTGATATCAGTTATTTACAAAGGTTTATAATGCGCCCTGTAAAAGCATTTTATTGGCAGAGTGGAGGTATAGAAGAAGGAGGAGTAGTAGTAGTAATAGTTGAAGTATAGTAATAGGGACTTTTAGATTCTGCACGAAGAAAACGTGGACTGCCCTTTTAAGGCAATGTGACGTCCTTTTAAGGCACTGGCAGTGACGTCACTTTGCCTTTAAAGGGCAGTCCGCGTTCGATTTCTCGTCGTGCAGAATCTAATATTAGAAGTAGCAGGCGCGTACGCAGGGAGGGGGCGGGGGGGGGGGGTATTGTGGGTTTAATCCCCCTCAATTTTCTTTTTATGTGTATATTTTGGAGGAACCCCCCCCCCCCAAAGGGTGACAAAAAAGTGACCTTACCCCCCTCCCCCCCCCCCCCCCCCCCCTACCGAAATATCGGTCTTCAGGGCTTTTCCAAAACTGTCAGTGCTTCCAACATCTCGAAGCTGGTCAGGAAGTTAGTTCCACAGGACAGGCACGAGAACCAAACGTTTAGGTTGATGTGGTAGGGACAGTCATGAAATTCTTTGTTGAGGAGCGGAGATTTCTGCCGGGCATGTAAGAACGAATAATATCAAGAAGATAAGTCGGGAATTTAAGAATCATTACCTTGTGACGCAAGTACGCAACATAAGAACTTTATAAACAATTCTTTCTTTTCCAGGTAACCAGTAAAGGCGAGTCAACATGGGTGTTACTGGATCTTTCCCCAGGGAGTGGAGAATTTGCATATATTTTGTGCGAGCAAGGCTTGATCCGATGACCTGGGTCATAATATATCTGTAGAACGTTTAGAGACATCGTTGATGTATTTAGCGCTAAAAGTGCATTTTATTATTAACATTATTAGTAAGAAAGTATAAACTTTCAGGAATGATGTTGAAAGAAAACACTCATCACTTTCTTATTCCTTCATCGCAAGTGACTTTTTTCGCATTTACTGGGCTGCAAGCGCAAAGCTTCATACCGACTCTGTTATTAAGCACTCCCATATCCAATCAAAACACACGGTCATTTTAAAAAGCCTAAAATGACCGACTCAGTGATCTGAGAAAGGTTGTTAAAGAGTTATACTTAATTAGCCATATATCCGGATATTTCATTGTTATTATCATCAAAGTTGTTATTTTTATTATTACCATCGTTATTTTATCAGTTATTCTCTTAAGTGTAAGCAAAATACACTATGCAGATCTCTGAAACATTAATAAGATATCAATCATCGTACGTTGTTAATAGCGTCAAGCAAATTTATACCATTTTAGACATTGGTATAACCCCACATTGGGCGTACATTATCAGGGATTTTTCTCTCTTTAAATGGTCCAAGTAATGCTTAAGCATTATACTTTGCAGTTGGGTGTAATGGTCTGAATATTTATATATTCATCTTTATGGGGTTTTAAGCACAATCTAATCATGACAGACTAAAAAGATCTTTCTTTGCCTTAGAAATGCCGTATACTTTTACATAGCAATAACATTTCCTTCAATACAGCACATATAATTTAATTGTTTAAAGATTCCTTACTGTTGATGCCAAGGGCACCTTTAAATTATTTTGAATATTCGTTTATCGATTAAGACCTACACTAAGAAACATGGAACATAATATTGAAACGAAATATGCGCACTGTAAAGATATAATCAATCTTATTAACTATTTGTATAAATAAAGCTGACAATGCTTACCTTATACACACCATTGCTAGTGGTTAATTTATCAAACATGCTGTATATTTCGTTGAGGAAATGAATAACTTGGATTGGTTCACAACGGGAACACATGTCTGTAAACTTCACGAATTCACTGAACATAACAGTTACTTCTGGATATACACCTAAAAAAGACAGGAAGGAAAATGTTATCACCGAAATATTACAACTAGTTCTTAAAGTTTATATCAGAAGACATATTATGGTCCATCGAATATCATAGTCATTTCTGGAAAAGTCTCCATATACACCTATTATGAATTTGAAATAGTTATCTCAACTTACCAGCTTTAAAGGGATTTGGTAACATTGTTCAGATGAGAGAATGTGGTGCTAAGGTAGTGACCTCAATGCCAGATGTACAATTAAAGATAATCTGAAAATTTGAGTGAAATCGGACCATTATTAATGATACAAATCGGGAACAACTGATCAGATCAATTTCTTAATTCTTCCAACTATATTATTACAAACATATTGATAACATGTTAGGTATATGTAAATCGTTACAAAGCAATAAATTGGCTCTACATACCATTCCAGACATTTAAGTGTCGGAAGATTTTTAATAGCCTATTTTATGTCTTTTTTTTCATGGAAAAATGTTTGGGAAAATTCAAAAATTATGGGAGAATTTACTGCTAATCACTGTTAGAGCATGTTGTACAGTGACGCTTTCATAGAAAACCATAAATACCTTCGTGGTTTGAGAATTTGTTTAGGATTGTTTACATGTCAGAGGGTTAGTACAGTTGAGGGAACATGATAAGTAACATTTTTATACAAAAATAAGCATTTTTGTCATCAAACTTCAACAATGTTACCATGTCACTTTAACATATTTGCCTTCTCGGAGATCATTGGCATATTCTTTCGGTAGCATATAAAATAACAAGCTGTCTGTCTTTTTTTTCCTCCATTGCCAAGTCTCTCATTAAAGTACGCAACTCTCTTTCTTCTGCTCCAATTCTTTCGCGAACCCCCACCCGGGTAAATTAAACAAAGTCAACACGTTAAGTCGATAAAGTTATGGTAAAACAGGGTTGTTAGAAAAGGGGTGGAAGAAATATTTGGTAAACATGAAATTGCATGATACCTCCCCTTGCAACTGAAAGGGAATTTCATCGCCTATTTCTCCTTTTCCATCGGCTATTTATCCTGATTTTTCTCCTCTACACCATTCAAAGCGGCCGTTTCATCGACTTTGAAAGGGGTATAATTAATTCACTATTTGTTCACACACACACACACACACACACACGTATTTTATCTTTTAGGCCTTATCGCTCTGGCTCACTCATACAATGTACCTATTTCTCTCTCGTTCACCCACACACTCACTCATTCTTTCTCTCTGTCTGGATATATTGACATCAGTTTCTTTTTGATAACTAAAAGACACAACTAAAAAAACCAGGTTCATCAATAAAACCCGTCACAAATGCAAATACAACATGATAATGTTAGTTTAGCCATGCGTGCGAACGGTGCGATCATGCCAGGCGAATATTGTTCATTTCTTTTATTACACACATTCAAGTGAGTTCCTGACGCTGTGTACATGACTGTGTTATTAACTTCCTCGTAGGTTCTACATGTCGTGCTGTTCGGAACGCAGAATAGGCATTTGAGAACGTTCCTAATTTCTCTAGTCGAGCAAGTTTTATCGGATTTTGCGAATTAGGTGAAATCTGAGCCGGAAATGTCAAGAAGTCGGCTGGAATTGTTATTTATAAGATTCATGTTGAAAGTGTCGCCATTTTTGCAATTTACACCAATTTGAGCTGCATGCACCGCCGTACTTAAGTTTGGATTTTACTCCACGGACTATATCGTTAGACTTGTTACACAGCAGCTTATAGTACATTATTCCTCAATAATTGTTACGTTGACATAACTCGCCATGCACCTG